TTTTTTTTGTTGCAGTGCACACCAGTGTGCCACGTGGCAGCCCACGGAAAGGAGGAGGAGAGAAGAGGAGAGAGAACGACGAAAAGGAGGAGGAGGGAGGAAAGATCTATGGAGAGAGAGGTCGGGATAGAGGAGGGAGGAGAGATCTAGCACGAAGAAAGTCGGGAGAGGTCGGGATGGGAGTCGGGAATGGAGAGAAGTAAGCGAAGCAAGGAAAGGGGGAAGAGGTCGGAATGGGGAGGAGGAGAGGAGCAAAGGAAGGAAAGGGGGAAGAGGTCGGAATGGGAGTCGGGATATGGTCGGGATAGGGCGGGGGAGAGGTTGGGATGGGAGTCGGGAGAAGGGAGGAATGGAAGTCGGGATACGGGAAAAGATGGAGAGGTCGGGATGGGGAGGGGAAGTGGTCGGGATCGAAGTCGGGAAGGGGAAGGGCGTCGGAATACGGGCGGGATGGGGAGGGGCAGAGGTCGGGATGGGAGTTGGGAGGAGGGAGGGTGGGAAGTCGGGATACGGGAAAGGAGGGAGAGGTCGGGATCGGGAGGGGAAGTGGTCGGGATCGGAGTCGGGAAGGGGAAGGGCGTCGGAAAGATTTTTTTTTTTTTTTTTTTTTTTTTTTCCGCAGCGCACATCAGTGTGCCACGTGGCACCCCACAAAACGGAGGAGGAGAGGAGGAGAGAGAACGACGGAAAGGAGGAGGAGGGAGGAAAGATCTATGGAGAGAGGTTGGGATAGAGGAGGGAGGAGAGATCTAGCATGAAGAAAGTCGGGAGAGGTCGGGATGGGAGTCGGGAGTGGAGAGAGAAGTAAGCGAAGCAAGGAAAGGGGGAAGAGGCCGGAATGGGGAGGAGGAGAGGAGCAAAGGAAGGAAAGGGGGAAGAGGTTGGAATGGGGAGAGGGAGAGGTCAGGATGGGAGTCGGGAGGAGAAAGATCGCGATGGGCGGATAGAGGAGGTCGGAGACGAAGGATGGGAAGGGGGAGAGATCGGGATGGGAGTCGGGATATGGTCGGGATAGGGCGGGCGAGAGGTTGGGATGGGAGTCGGGAGTCGGGAGGAATGGAAGTCGGGATACGGGAAAGGATGGAGAGGTCGGGATGGGGAGGGGAAGTGGTCGGGATCGGAGTCGGGAAGGGGAAGGGCGTCGGAATACGGTCGGGAAGGGGAAGGGGAAAGGTCGGGATGGGAGTCGGGAGTCGGGAGGGATGGAAGTCAGGATACGGGAAAGGAGGGAGAGGTCGGGATCGGGAGGGGAAGTGGTCGGGATTGGAGTCGGGAAGGGGAAGAGGAGGTCGGAGGCGATGGGTGGGAAGGGGGGGAGATCGGGATGGGAGTCAGGATATAGTCGGCATGGGGAGGGAGAGAGGTCGGGATGGGAGTCGGGACACGGGAAAGGATGGAGAAGTCAGGATGCGGAGGGGAAGTGGTCGGGATGGGAGTGAAGAAGGGGGAGGAGGATCATCCCCGGGATAGAGGAGGGGGGATACTGGTTGGGATAGGGGAGAGGGAGAGGCGGGAAGGGCGGAGAGGTCGCGATGGGAAGGGGGAGAGGTCGGGATGGGAATCGAGAAGGGGAAGGGCGTCAGAAGAAGGAAAAGAGGAAAGGGAGAAGGGAGGTTGATTTTATTTTATTTATTTATTTTTTTTAATTTTTGGCACACATAAACACCCACATGTTGATAACATCTGAGGGGAGAGGTTGGGAGGAGAGGTCGAGATGGGGAGGGGGAGAAGTCAGGATGGGAGTCGAGAAGGTGGAGGGGGACCATACCGGGATAGAGGAGGGAGGATAGTGGTTGAGATAGGGGAAGACAGGAGGGATGGGAGTCGGGAAAGGTAAGCGAAGAAAAAAGGGGAGAGAGAGAGATCGGGATGGGAGTCGTGAAGGGGAAGGGCGTCGAAAGAAGGAAAAGAGGAAAGGGAGAAGGGAGTCGGGAGGAGAAAGGTCGCAATGGACGGATAGAGAAGGTTGGAGGCGATGGATGGGAAGGGGGAGAGATTGGGATGGGAGTCGGGATATGGTCGGGATATGGTCGGGATGGGGAGGGGGAGAGGTCGGCAGGGGGAGAGATCGGGATGGGAGTCTGGAGAAGGGAGAGGTCGGGATGGGGAGGGGAAGTGGTCGGGAAGGGGAAGGGCGTCGGAATATGGTCGGGATGGGGAGGGGGAAAGGTCGGGATGGGAGTCGGGAGGAGGGAGGGATGGAAGTCGGGATGCGGGAAAGAAGGGAGAGGTCGGGATGGGGAGGGGAAGTGGTCGGGATCAGAGTCCGGAAGGGGAAGGGCGTCGTTCAACGACAAGGGAAGACACAAAGAGAGAGAAAGAAAGACAGAGAGAGAGAGAGAGAGAGAGAGAGAGAGAGAGAGAGAGAGAGAGAGAGAGAGAGAGAGAGAGAGAGAGAGAGAAAGAGAAAGGGGACAATTGGTGAAACTACAACAACAGCCACACCCACACTCTGCCGGGCTACGGTTTGAGCCTTGACTTGAGCGATTCTGTGTGTGGGTGAGGCCACCACGCCGACGGGTTGGCTGAATCTGGTGCATGAAGCCTCCCGCCGGCCTCCCCGTAGGAGTTGAAACCCTGACACCTCACAACCCTTTGAAAAAAAAAAAAAAAAAGGAACTACGACAACAGGTAACACGAAAAAAAATATTGGGCCTATGTCGTAAACACAAAAAAAAGTCTTTCTTTTTTGCCATCCATATCGAATACTGCGCCTCTACAACTTCTACTATCTTACCCCCCAACACAAAAAAAAGTCTTTCTTTTTTGCCATCCATATCGAATACTGCGCTTCTACAACTTCTACTATCTTACCCCCCCATCGTTAATTCTCGTGATCTTCACTCTTCTCGCCGCGGGCGGAGCCGCAGCGGGTCCACTTGTTTTATTTTAAATTGGTTTTGGGGATGTTTTTGATTCTTTTTGATTTTTCTTTTAGTTCTTTTTTTTGGCCTGGGAAAATAGGGGGTGACGCGGGCGGCCCGGCTGCTAGCCCAGATCAGGACTAAGTTCCCTGAAAGGTTCTGAAAGAATGATGACCAAGTTTCCCGAACAGTGGGAATGACCATTGAGTTTCCTGACTTTTTTTATTTTTTTATTTTTATTGTTTTTAACTGTCGGGGGTCTGCGAGCAGAGGAGTGGTGGGAACCTCCTCCACTAGCGGATCCCCCAGAGTTAAAAAAAAAAAAAAACAGACGTGCCGCATCACTGCTCATGACTGCTGTTTTGAAAAGATGTGAATGATGGATGGGATGGATCACTATGGGCCTCAGTTCACTACCTAACATTCTGCATGCATTTGGATGCCTTCCTGGCCCGGGTGCCTTCGGAGGAGTCCAACATTTTGAATGTATCCAGACGACCACGAGGTCCAGATACATGTAGAGTGTTGTGTAGTGGAGGTAGGTCCTGTGTTCCTTGAAATCCGGCATTGTATTTTTTTTTTTTTCTTGCTTTTCTTTTTAAGAAGTATAAATATATTGATCGATCGACAATGGCTTGGTGCATGGACTGTGTTTCTAACCCCCCNAATGTGACCGCCTTACCGGTGAGGTGCATTCTGTGGAGGAAGACTCTGAGCACGGCCTCCAAGACTACCCTGCCCAACATCATTGCAGTAGAGATGGTACTTTCTTTTTTTGCTTTTTCTTCACTCGCGGGCAATATAAAAAATTGATTTATGGGACAATGCCGACCCTGTGTCCCACCCCCGATACTGTCTCTTATACACATCTAGATGTGTCTCCCCCCCCCCAATGGCTTGGTGCATGGACTGTCTTTCTAACCACGCTTGATAGGGGACAGAAATAGACCCCTTTTGAGGCGAAGAGGGGGGGTGCTGAGCGGGCGATGGATGACATGGGTGGGGCTCAAAAAGGGTTGGAAGGACATCCACGAAGGCGGGGGGGAGGGGGGGAGGGGGAGGGGGAGGGAAGAGATAGGGAACCCTCAGGGGCTTATGATGTTTAACTTCGGTCAGATGTCACATCCGCATTAAGTCAACTCGGGGTAACAAAAATAAGGCCATCTGAGGGGGGGTCTTATACGCCCTTATAGAAGGCCAAAAATAAGGGCTCTTATACTCATTGGTAAATACGGGCCCTTATAGAAGGGGGGGGCTTATACGCCCAATAGAGGGCATTTGAGGGACGGCATTGTGATGGGTGAATGTGGGCCCTCATAATGGTCCTTGTATGCTCAAAAGGGTATATTTATACTTGTCCATCTGTGCCCTTGTGCTCACAGCGGGGCATTGGTTAATGATGTATTTGACAAGAAAGCATGGAACTACACGAGAAAAGGATTTATTATAGGATTTTTAAGTTTTTAATAATTTTTTTTAGTTAGTGTGCCTCCTAAGATTTTTTGTGACTAAAGGGGTTGTGATTTGACGTGCAGTGGGGTGTAAAACCGGACGCCCTCGACTGATGTGGAATGATGTAATCATTGAGATTAGGTTTGTAATTTTTTAGTATTTTTACCAACTTCTTATTTCAGTTTAATCCAACGAAACACTTTTTTTTTTTTTTTTTTTTTGAGGGATAATTTGCGAAGTACCCCCGTAAGTTGAGATATATGCCAAAATGCCCCTAAAAGATGTGGGTAGAGCAGAATACCCCTCTGACTTTTTTTTTTTTTTTTTGGTGAAGTACCCCCGGCATTGGTTGGACCCCCATCTTTGCAATATACCCCTACTGGGTACCGTCCAAATTTGCAAAATGCCCCTGAACTTGCCAACTTCTTCCAGGCCCTATTGCAAAAAGGCCAAGGCCCAAATGCGGAGGTCCAGATTGCGAAGTCGCACACCCGCCTGAGAGGGGCACAACACAAATATCTCGGCCCAAAAGGGCATTCTGCTCTACCCACATATTTCAGGGGCATTCTGGCATATATCTTAACTTATGACAAGTTATGAGGGTATTTTGCAAATTAATAATTTAAATTATCCCTTTTTTAACTATAAATTTTTAGAAATAGTTTCTTGTGGCCAGCAATTCATAACCAGACAGACATAAACCTCTGTAGTGTGAGTTTATAGGGGTCCAGAACCCCCACCCCTGCAGTCTGTTGCACAAATGCCCCCCTCCCCCACGCACACACACTGGTTCGGACGCCAGGCCCGATTTCCGGCTTTGTGAATAAATATAGATCTAAGTTAAAAGTATTATGTACTACTACACAGCTTGATTACCTTATCGTATCGACAAACCAAACTGGGTGAGGTAGGTAGTGTAGTCGGCCTGGGCCCTCTGGTCGGTAGTAGTATGGTCTCTGGCCAACATGGGTGTGAGTTTGTGCGAGAGTGGGTTGTGTGGGGTTGTTGGCTTTAGACACTGATATTTATTGGAGGGGGGGCGGGAAGGAGAAGAGGAGAATGCAGCCTACTGGTAAGATACAGAGTCTTTGTTTTAGTTCCGGCCCCAACCAGCAGCCCCAACCCTGCACCCGAACAGCCAACCATTATCGCTGCCGTATTTAGACTGAAATGTGGCGCTAAAGCTGAACGCACGCTCTATCCGAGTAAAAACGGTAGGGCAAAGGGCAACGTGCAATATCCCCATTCACTGTGGAAGGAAGTAATGCTACGCAGGAGTCCCCTGTGAGGAGTCGCCTTAGGAGTAGCGGAAGGTAGGTAGTGAGATGTCATTTTGACAGAGGAATACACCTCAATAACGTTGCCTCAGTTTTCTTTTTTTTTAATAACAATAAAAATCCAAGAAACAGCCAAAAGGAGATGTCGAGGGACTCTACGCCTAAATTACTACATTTTGAGAATTTTTTGAAGGATTGCATTTCCAGCCCCCTTACTTGTTATAGGTGGGGTGCAGACCTGGAGGGAGATCCCACTAGCATTGTATGTGGAGTAGTGTAGAGGGCGTGTGACCTGCCTCCGCCGTCGATGGGAATGGGGATCTGTGGTTTTGTTTTTCCTGTATTTTAGCCCTCGAAAATATGTGCTCTTTTGGAGCATCCCATTGGGTGGTCTTTCTTTTGTTTTGCTTGCCGTGTTCCTCTGGGGGTCCCGAACGTAATTGAAAATCAGACCCATTTTTTTTGTGTTGCTTTTCACTCACCTTTCACTCACCTTTGGGTTGTGGCCCATGCGTGGAAGAGAGGCCAAAAACAAAATTTTTCGGTGTTTCCCATCATGAGGGAATGTCAGTCCGTGTCAGACCCTCGTCCAAGTTGTCTGTAGTCCCCGCAAATGTTTCACATGGGCAATGCTTTTGTCCTCTTCCTTTGACATACATGTGCCCCCTTATTTTTTGCGAGGTCTTTGGGAGGGTTCGATCCCCTCACCTACGGCAAATGGTGTATGGAGTTACTCTACAGCAAGGGTCAAACAAAATCCATGCATAGAGTATCCCAATTGGTTGGGACAAGCAAGGCTCAAACAAAATCCTTTTTCCTTTTTACAGCTTCTGCCACCGTAAAAAAACTTAAAAAAAGGGACATTGCAGTCGCTATTTAACAAACTACTCTTCTTTTTTTTTTTTTCACCTTTCTTCCTTTTTCCTAACAGCTGCATGGCACCCTGTACGCGCACAGGTGGGGTACCGAGTACGAGTACTCAGGATTATGCGTACGTCAATAAAAAATAAAATAAAATAAACTGAATTTTTTTTTAATGTCAATTTAAAAATAATAATACAAAACGTTTTTGCCTGGGAGTCATGCCGGAAAACCCAACCAAATTCGATTCAGATTTCTAAAAAAGAAAACTGTAAAAAAGAAGTAATAAATTATTATAAATTAAAAATAAAGAGTACGTGCGTTGCAACACAACCTAACAGATTCTTTTAGTGCAGACCAAGACAAGACTTCAATGAACGGAAGCATATCCATTTTCATACCCACTCTACATGCATTTGGACGTTTTCTGGACCCAATTCATTGAAAAAGTTGGACTCGTCCTAATGCACCATACCCATTCTACATGCATTTGGATGCCTTCTGGACCCAATTCATTGACAAAGTTGGGACTCGTCCTAATGCGCCTGGTACAGAAAAAAGCGTCCAGATGCATTTAGCGAGTTGTGTAGTGGAGCGATGCCTAGAGTCAACATCCCTAAAACCTAAACCTATTTTAGGGTCCTCAAGGTTGGAGCAGACCATCTGTCATCACACGCCACCTCCACACAGCAGCGTACAGACAGCCTTCCACTTCCAACAACTCCCAACTTTTTCGAAACTTCACACAAACCCATCAACAGCTATCGTCATTAAAGAAAATTACCTCCTCGTCCCCCCACCTATTGCCATGGGGAAAAATACCTCCTCCACATCTATCCTCATTAGGAGAAAAGGAAAAAGTCCAAAAAAAAAAAAAAAAAACACACCGCCTGCTCCACACCCATCCCCACGCCCCTTTCCCTCAGCTGGCCCGCATCATCCACTGGTTGCAACTGGGACCGATTTTCGAATCCCCAAGTCACAGACCCAAACACTGTACCCACTTCAACTCCCAAGTTGCTGATCCAACACCATATCGACTTCGACTCCCTTGTCACAGGTCCAAACACCTCTTGACAGTCGATCATCAAATGACCAAGTACAAGGTAATCAGTTAGATGCCCAAATATTATAAGCATAAGAGAGAGAGAGAGAGAGAGAGAGAGAGAGAGAGAGAGAGAGAGAGAGAGAGAGAGAGAGAGAGAGAAGGAACAACAGAGGTTGCATCAAAGTTCACATAAACGCAAGACCACTTTAAGCGGGGTGGGTGAGAAGAAAGAAACAAGACCGCAAACTGATTCTAAACTTTAGACGCTGGAACACAGTACCGCCGCCAACTCTACCTCACGCAGGACACCTCTGAAGAAGTCTGCTGCTCACCTACAAAACTGATGGACCAGGTGCAACACTGATGGACCGGGTACAAACCTAACGGGCCAGGTGCAAAACGGATGGGCCAGGTGCAAAACTGATGGACTGGGTACAAACGTAACGGGCCAGGTGCAAAACGTAACGGGCCACGTACAAAGCCAACGCACCCAGTACAAAGCTGATACACGGGTTGCAAAACTGGCGGACCAGGTTCAAAGCTGATGAACCAGGCCCTCTTGCTAAGCCAATCAGGTGCTCCACTAATCCGCAAAGTACCGGAAATCTCCTCTCTAAACCACAACCGTACATTAAAAACAGACAACAACAACAATAACAAAAGGAAAACAAAACAAAAGCAATAAACCAATGTTAAGCCCCCCCC